TCCCCAGATAAGCTGAAGAAAATGGAAGGTTAACGCTTAGACCTTTCCATTTTTCCCATTTTACATATTTTGTTTTCTTTATGTGCATTTTCTGTTGTAGTTCTGAACATTTTGTAGCTTTTGATGTTTTGGAAAACTGTAACCATAGTTTTATTGTCATAATTAGTAGCAGTAGTTATGTCAATTTCAAAGACTTGTGTTTAAATTTCCAAGGCAGACAGGCTGTGATTTGGTTGTACGCATGATCAGAGGGACTCCTACATTTCTGCCTATAGTATGAGCAATTTGAGGTATGAAAATACTCATAAACTACAGATTTTCCTGTGAAACATTTGTACGCACGATTTGCATACAACAGTGCCTTCGTGCAGTTCTTAGGCACTGTAAAGGAAACCCTACGTCCTTTAGACAGATGAGACCTAAGTGAACATGTCTGGCCAGAATCCACTGCACCACATCTGGAGAGAACCAAACACAACATATCGCCACAAACACCTCATGCTGTCAAGCACGGTGGTGGAGGGGTAATGATTTGCGCTCTTTTTGCTGCCACAGGTTCTGGACACCCGCAGTCATTGAGGCGGCCCTGAACTCTTCTGTATATTAAAGTATTCTAGAGTCAAATGTGAGACCATCTGTCTGAGAGATAAAGCTTGGCTTAAACTGGCTCATACAACAGGACAAGTAGTTCCAGTTATTGCTGCTGAAGGTGGTTCAACAACCTGCTGAATAATTTTTGCATACTACTTCTGCATTTTGACAATGTTTTAGTTCAATAAAGAATAACGCAGTATAAATTATTATGTGTTGTTATCCATCAGTTTCAATTTAAATGATTTTGGAACCCGATAGGGACCAGATTACTTTTTGTTCTCTTATATAAACCTTAGAACTGTAAAAAGCAGTAATTTCTATTTCGCTGACTGTATATTAACTCATGTCCCATGTTTGGTCACAGCTCTTCTTCATGCACCTTCTACCAAACTTTGCGGAGTGCTGGTGGGATCAGGTGATACTCGACATACTGTTGTGTAATGGAGGAGGCATCTGGCTGGGAATGACCGTCTGCCGTTTTCTGGAGATGAGGACGTATCGCTGGGCCAGCATCAAGTCAGTATTTTCTTCTCTTTTTTTCCCATATGTAAAAGAATTGCCATGAACATTAGAAACAGCTGAAACAATCTAATAATATGATAAGAGATATAATATGTGTAAGACAAAGTTGTCTTTTCAAATTCCTAAAAGCCAAAAAAGCATCTCTGGAATTCCTCTAAAACCTTTATCAATAAACCTTAATCATTAAACTTCTTTCCCTTTTTTTTCCTCAAATGATTTACATTCAGAGATATTTTTCACATAATTGACCACAGGGAGAACAATTGGTTTCTTATTGTTCACCTTGAATAATGTTCAAATGTTTAATGTTTCAAACATGAGTAGATCTCTGTATTATGAGTGCAACCCTGACACAATACACTGTTTCTGTTCAGGGAAATCCACACTACCACCGGGAAGATAAAGCGAGCTGTGCTTCAGTTCACTCCAGCCAGCTGGACCTTCGTGCGCTGGTTTGATCCAAAATCATCATTCCAGAGGCTTGCAGGCATCTATGTCTTTATGATCCTGTGGCAGGTAGGGTGTACCGTGATTCAGAAACACAAACTCAATTCTAAAAAGTTTGGGTGCTTCGTAAAAACTAAAAACAGAATGCAATGATTTGCAAATCTCATAAATCGATATTTTATTCACAGTAGAACATAAAAAAAGATATCAAATGTTTTATTTATGCCCAAAAGTGCAAAAATATACCAAATGAACAAAAAAGACAGGACCCTTAAAAGAGGTCAAATGAATAAAACTAAACTAAAGCCAAAAATAGCAACTAAACATGTATCCACACTAACTGCTCAACAAATTTAAATAAATAAATAAAAAACCTGACCTAACACGCAAAAAACAAAGGCGAAACTAGTGGCTCAGATGTATTTTTTAGGGAAGGCCTTTCATATTACAGCGAGACAATGCTAAACACTGCAGACAAGAGCCTGGCTTTGGCCTACCTGCAGTCCAGACCTTTCACAAACGGAAGACATTTGGAGCATCAAGAAAGAAAAAAACTAAACAAAGAACACCCAAGACTGTTGAGCATCCTACATCAGATAGGAATGCTATTCTCGGTTCACTGACGTTTACAGACTGTTGTTAAAAGAAGAGTGGATGGTACACATGGAGAAACATTTTTGAGATAAAAGAAATAAAAAAAACTTAACTTGTTCTTAAAATGGTCCATTTTCTTAGTTTGATATATTTTCCTTGTTTTTGGGGGAATTAAATATGGGTTTATTAAATAATTGCATTTTACACACCTTCCCAAGTTTTTGGAATCGGGGTTGTACTTGCACAATAGCGAGCCATTGATCAATTCACTAATGTGTCCATTGAATATCGTTCATTTGAAGAATCATATGTTCAGTAATACCCTCACTGTACATAAACAACACTTCCTGTGAAATCCTCTTTGTCTTACACATCTTTATTTCCACAGCTGACAGAGCTGAACACATTCTTCCTCAAGCACATCTTCGTCTTCCAGGCCTCTCACCCTCTCAGCTGGTGTCGTATCCTCCTCATCGGAGTCATCACTGCACCCACTGTACGGTATGATTAAACCTCAAATTTACATCACTTATCAATCTTTGAGCAGTGGTAATTACAATGTTATGCGGTCTTATTCAGGTTGTACCTACTAAATACACATCTGTGAGGATGCTGTGTTAATGTTTGCTTACTGATTTTGGGGTTTTGGGGTTTGTTTGTTTTTTAGACAATATTATGCTTACCTGACAGACACTCAGTGTAAGCGAGTTGGCACACAGTGTTGGGTTTTTGGGTGAGTATCTTTTTTTTTACTGTCAATTTAAGCATTTTCTTTATCTAAGAGTATCTTCAGATGATGTTTTTAAAAAATGTCAAAATTAAAAATTGTAGCTAGAGCCATAGCTTGTCCATTTCCTTTGTCATTATGTAAAATTAGCTGGAATCTTTTTTATTAGTTATTTGCATGCTTTGCAGAAGCTGTCACCACACTGGTTTTAACAGAGCAAATTCAAAGTAACATTGTAACAAGTGTCACATACTACTCATCTAATTCTCTTTATGGTTGAAATCTGTTGTTGAACAGCACATAAAATAAAGCTTTCACTCATTTTCAACCAGAGAGTAAATGGACACTTCCTGCTACTGGCGCCAGCTTAACCATAATCAAATCAGGCCCGAAGCATGGGTGTCAAGCTGTCGCATTAGACTACAGTTTGAATCTTTATTTAAACCTTTTGGATTCATTTTTATAACAGTGTAGCTTCATGTCAATTGAAATTCATAACATCATGTAGTCCTCTCAGACACAAAGGTGCTGATGTCCTTAGTCTGCTCCGGTTACTATAGCAACGAGACCGGCACACTCTCCGTCAGCAACTTAACGCTGATGCTGCTCTCTTGTCTGAGGTTCACCCCTGCAGTGTAACCTTTAAAAGTGAAAGAGTTTCCCACTGCACAGTGTGCTGAATGAGTATCAGTTATGCTTCTTAATACTGTGGGAACAGCAACATGGACAACATCCATTTAGAGTCTCATGCATCAATAGAGGCATTTTAGCGCAGTGTAAAGGCATGGCCAAGAGAGGGGGCCATTGTTGAATACAGATGTCTGTTTTTGAATCATTCACATCAAACACATCATTTCTGTTTTATTCTCTATTTCTCTTTAAGAGCCATCGCTTTCCTGGAGGCGCTTGCTTGTGTAAAATTTGGCCATGACTTGTTTTCCAAGACACAGATTCGCTACGTGCTCATGTGGCTGCTGTGTCTGGTAAGAAAAGACAAGTGAGCATTTATAATTAAACGATATGTGTCACCTACAGTAATTGATTATTAAAACAGATTGAAAATAAGTGATTAATAAGGTAGATGTTGCAGGACTTTGCATCTGATGTGCTGAACAAATATTATCTGTGATTTTTACAGGAGTAGCAGTTTATATTTTCTTTTTTCTTTAAGCAGACTCATTTTTTGCATACTTTTCCTTCCAGGCACTCATCACGCTCCTGTGCTTATATGGGATGGTGTGGTATGAGCAAAAGAAAGTGAAGGTGAGATGGGCCCTTGGGCTGCTTGCTTACTTAAATGTTTCTAGAGGTTTTGGTTTGCTTGTGATAGTAGAAACCTCCATCTGTGGAATAGAACAGAGGGATGTACTACAAAGAAAGCTTAAGAGGTAAAACCTAAAATCCCAGTCACACACAGCAGGTATCGCAGTGGTGGTTATCAACCTTTCTGTTAAGCCGGGCTTTCTGCTTCAAGGTTATGTGCACATTTACATAAAAAGGGCCATTTAATGCTTCACATGACGCTTCTTCTGCACAAAGTGATCTCTTTGAGTGCCAGCTACTCCAGTCAGAGATTTTTTTCCGATGATGATGATGATTAAACAGTATATATAAATGACAACAACATATAACTGGAAAATGCAACAGTGCTGCAAATAACACAAAGTTAAATAGCTTTAAAATTTGACTCTCGTCAATACATCAAGTTTATTTTAATATTGAGTGAATCTCAGTGCTGCTGTGTAAGCATCAGAACCCAATATAAAAAAATTTATATTAATTTTTTCCTCCATTGCCAACTGAACACATGCAAATCCCAGTAAAAATGCACTGCTTCAACTTTTTAGCTGCACGTTCGGTGGTGTTAGTAAGCTACGGCTTAACAAGCTGCACATATTAGATGTATTTACCCAGCAGAAGATCTTCATCACATGGAAAACATGATGTTTAAAAAAAGAAAAAAGAATCAGTGAAAAGCACTTCCTGATTATTTTAAATTAAAACGCTGCTCCTGACCAGGTTATGTGTGCAGCATGAGTTACTATGGTGATTTAGCCAAAACAGAGTCACTTTCTTGACACAGAAAACTTTGACTTTAACCTCGACATAGCTCACTGTGCCATTAATCTCCCTTCACGGTGCACCCCTCTGGCGTTAGCATTAATGTCAAAAGTTAACTGTTTCTAAGTGCCCTGTGTGTAAGCATGGCACAGCACCACCATTAGAATATGACGGTGAGCACAGATGCAGAAAACCAGGACTGTAAACCGTCTGTATATTTTGAACCAAGCCAGAGCAGTGTTTTGAGCGAGTGAGTTGTAGAGACTGTTTGTGTCTCTGATTTTCTTTCTGTTGGCAGAGAAATTCTCTGCAAAGGCACGACTGCAATGACAGGAGTGTTATTGACTCATGTGGTTTCATCACAGATGGTGCTGCAGGTCAGTCTCATAACATGCAGATTGATGACAACGTTTCACTAAACTCCATCTCAAATGTTTATCATGTCTTGTGTCTCTTTGCTCCACAGCTCAGGAATATTCCTCACGAACTGTGCAGCCTGCAAAACGGAGGAGAACTGCAGGCAGGAACAGATTTATAAATGGTCAAGGAGGAAAGAGACAATAAACAACAACTGATACTGAATATTTGTGACCTCTGTGGAGGGGGATGAGGAAATGATGCGCTTACCAAGAGGAATACAGTATGCACTATGTGGATGGACAGTGTTGGGGAGTAACGGAATACATGTACCGCCGTTACGTATTTAAAATACAAAATATGAGTAACTGTATTCCGTTACAGTTACCGT